TCCTCCTCTTCTTCTTCTTCTTTTTCTAGCAGACTTAGTGGAATGAATGTGTGAGTGTTCCTCATGTTCACTTTAGGAGCAAGATTGTGGACAAGCAGACAGGTCTGAGTGGATTTGATCTGCTGGTGACCTGGAATCTTGCAGATGTGGCATCCCACCCTAGGCGGGAGGGTGTGTGCTTCTGGCACATGGGCGATGGCCCGGCCCGAGGCATGTTGCCTTTCTATCCCAGTATCATTCATTCCAGAGCTCTGAGCCTGGCTCTGCTGCATGCTGCAAAAGGGTAAAACATGGCCCATCTCAGCCCAATTAGGATGACTCCTAGCAAAAATCAGAAAATAATAACTTTTGGTGAGGACCCAGAGAAATTGGATCCCCTGTGAACTTTTGGTGGGAATGTAAAATGGGGTGGTGGTTGTGGAAAACAGTACAGTGGATCCTCCGAAATTTGATATAGAATTTCCATAGGACCCAGCAATCCCACTTCCAAGTATATGTCCAAAACTTGAAACCAGAGACACAAAGAAATATTTGTATCCTCATGTTCATAGCAGCATTATTCATGATAGCTAAAATGTGGAGGCAGCCCAAGCATGCATGGACAGATGAGTGAACAAGCAAAATGTAGTATGCACATAACCAAACATATTATTCAGCCTTAAAGAGGAAGGAAATCCCGAACCTTATATCATTATGCTGAGTGACATAATCCTGACATAAGAGGCCAGTACTGTATGATTCTATCTTCTATACCCCTGTGGCCAAAATCAGAGACAGAAAGTAGAATGGGGGTTGTCAGGGGCTGAGAGAAGGGGAAATGAGCACTTATCGTTTATTGGGTAGAGAATTTCAGTTGTATACAATGAAAAGAATTATGGAGATGGATGGCAGGAAGGGTTGTAGAATATATATGCCACTGAACTGTACACTTAATAATGGTTAAGATGGTAAGTTTTACATCCTGTGGTATACTGCATACAGTAAAATTTAAAATAATCTTAAAAAACCCAAACAGTGTAGTGTAAGGGGTGGCACAAAGGCACAGCGAGGTGCAGAGAGGAAAATGCTGTTCCAACCTTTCAGTCTTCCTGTGAATGCTCACAATGACACTGTTGGGTAGATCATCTTAGCCTCATTTGACAGAAGAGATATAGACTCTAAGAGCTTAAGTGACCTCTTTCCTTTTCCACAGCCTAATGGTCGCTCAGTTCTGTCCATTTTCTCTCACTCTTCACCTGTTTTTGCTGACCTGCACATCCTCACCACTCCCTTGAAGTGCCCAGTCCTCCTTCAGTCTCCCGACGCAGCTGTCTGCCCTCAGCTCCCTTTGCTACAGTCCATCCTCCACACCTCTGCCAGGGCCATTTTCTAAAATGCAAGTGGAACTGTGTGTGTACCCTATTGCTTAAAACCCTTCAGTAACTCCGGTTGCCTGGAGAATAAGGTCCAATCTCCCTGGCACGGCAGCAAGACCCTCTGGAAAGTGGTCTTGGTCCCACTGCTGTCCCCAGTGGTGTCTCTTTGCCTCCCCCTTAACTCTTTGCTACCCATGATTCAGCCTCATGGAGCCACTTAGAGTGCCGGGTTGTACCTCCTGGCCTTTGCAAGAAGGGCTGTCCCCATGGCTCAGGGGTCCTTCCTCCTCATGTCCCTGGGGCACTCTGGAGCTAAGGCTTTAACATCTCCTCCTCCAGGACACCTTGCCCAGCTGCCCTGGTCAGGGATGGATCCCTTTTGCCTACTTTCATGTCTTTGCATTCCTCTTCCATTCATCACACCACATAGCAGCCATCTACATGTGTCTCGGTTTCCCCTCCTCAACTGCAAGTACCTTGAGAGCAGGACCTAGAGTTCATCATTCATCTGTTTTAAAACATATACTAAATACTCACGTCATGCCAGGCACTGTGCCAAACCCTGGGACACTTGATTCATGCCGTGGAGTATGTGGTCCAATGTGGGACAATCGGTTACACCAACAGCAGTATAGATTATGAAGAAGACAAGGGCATGGTATCCTTGGTATCTGGTGCTGGTAAGTATGTAAAACATTCTAGTTTTTGGCCTCTACCCTGTCCCTGGGCACCAGTGGGCGTAACAGCCCAGTGTGTTTACAGTGCTGCTCCCTGTTGGTCTGCATATTCCATGTGTGAGGGACTCTTTTGGACTGTGTCTCCAGAATGTATGAAAATGGTGAGTTGCCATGACAATGGTATAGCATCTTCCTGTGTGAATAAAGAGGCTTGCCATCTAGAGGAGTCCAGGCCAGTGGGCAGTAGGGTTAGGACTGTGGCCAGGGGTACCCTCCTTCTCTGAGCACCAAGGGAAAAGGGGAATCCCTTCAACTCTGTTACTCACTAGCT